TACTCTGTGCCTACTAGAATTTTTTGTATGAAGTATAAAATTACATTTGGAAAATAAAGAAAAAGAAATCCATGATTGTCCTTCCATAGTAATACAACCATTGTAATCATTTTGGTATATAGTTGTGGTGCATTACATGCATTTTCAGAATTTTGTATATTTACCTATGCTTTGCTTGAATCCTGTCCCCCTTTCTGAATTCCCACATTCCTGAATTCCTGATTTTCTTCTTACTGAATGATTACGGAGGAAGGGATGAGACTCTATGATTTCAACTGGTTTCCATTTCTAAGTTTCTCTGAGTGTGAGCATTTACTGTGCCTGCTGTACTTCTGTTATTTAAAGCAATGTATTTTTCATACATTATGGCCCTTAAATGCAAGCCAACCTCTTCATCTGGTGTCAGCCAAAGGAAAAGTCATCTGTTGCAACGCTGGAGGAAAAACTGGCAATGTTGGACTTAACCTATATTGAGAGATGGTATGTTCACCTTGGGGTCTTCAAGCATGATTTTGACAGTGTGTGGTTTTCATCTCATATGCTGATTTTTGCCTCTAACCTCTGAGTTAGATGTGGTTTCATGGTATTTAATCTAGGCTTTTTTATATATTTTACATAATTATCTGTAAGGTATATTCATTTTTAAAGCTTTTAAAATATCAAGTACCTTTCCAAATTGCTATAAAATTTTTATGGCCATCATTTGTAACCAGACTTTTTAGTTTTTGTCTTTTCAGAATTATTTGGAGAGTCAATAGAGTCATTTCATGAGTAAATACATTCTAACTTGCTTATATAGGCCCACTCACAGTGGTTCTACCATAGATATTTTAAAATAGGAGTAGTTGTTATACTGCTTATTTCAGTATTTCTTAACTAATAGATAAGGGCTTAGCAGTTCTCAGGCATGTGTGGATCCTACTTGTAATTCCAGAATTCAAATTATTTAAATCAGTCTAGGATCTTATTAGAGTGCAGGCTATACAGTGTAATGGTTAATAACATCTATTTGACTCTGGACTTCTCAAACTTAAAGCTCAGTATTGGTACTTACCACTAAGGTGAATTTCAGCAAATTACGTATTCTTTCTTTGCCTGCTTCTCTGTGAGTAATTAAATCGGTATATGTAAAGTATTTTGAAATAGAGCCTTGTTTCAACAAGTTCTATGTAAATATTATTTAGTATTACTCTTGGCAATTTTTGAAAATCTTTGTGGTACAGTTAGGAGTTTTGAACACAATTGTAAGTCTTTTCTTCTGTGGTTGTAGTTGGCTTAATGAATTTAATTTTGCGCACTTGAATTAAAAGAGCATAGCACTTTGAGAATTTTAAATTTGGGACACTGAATACACTGGAATCATTGAGTGAAGCTAATGATGAAATATCTACAGTGCCATCATTTGACTCTTTTGCATGGTACACTCTGTTATCTGGACAGATAAGATATTTCTGACCCCATTACAGATTATCTTGATATCTGAGAAGCAAAAACCTATTGCAACTTATTTCTTACAGTCCTTAATTCCATATACAGTGTACTAAGAGAACTTTCAAATTGTAGTTTCAATTTAGTCTCTTTCTCTTTTTTGGCATCACTTGGACTTGAATTTAGGGTCTTACACTTGCTATGCAGGCACTCTACCACTTGAGCCACTCCTCCAGCCCCACTTTAATTTCTTTCTTATTTTGCTCTTCTTTTTTTATTTCCTTAACTGTCCCATCATCTTTTCATAAGAAATCAGCATTTCTTCTCTTCTTGTTTTAAGGTAAATCTACAATTAAATGTGCTTATCTCAAAAATTCATTCTGAAATTGCAGTGTTCTCCTTCCCATTTCACTTTTTTATGCTGTGTGATTTCTCTCTCTCTCTCTCTCTCTCTCTCTCTCTCAGGGACTATGTAACCCAGACTGGCCTGGCCTTGATTTTGGGATGTTTCTTCTTCAGCCTCCCGATTGTTGGGATTGCCTTGTTTTTTTTTTTTTTTTTTTTTTTTTTTTTGGCAGTATTGGAGTTTGACCTCAAGACCAACTACTATTCATCTTTATAGGAATGAATTGCATCATAGATTTTCAGTAGGCTAACAATCTTTATCAGGGTGAAAACTTTACGCTCCATTCTAAGTTGTTCAGTTAGTAGCAAAAGTTTCTTATAATTAGGGTAAGACAGCTCACAATCCTCAGAGGCTGTTTTAGATTTAAGTTATGAAGATCATCTACATTTATCTTTCTTTGATCTGAGACAGCAGTGAAGCCGCAGTAGGTCACTATTGAGGAAAACATGGTGTTCACTTGTGAAAAAGAATTGGGTACGTCAGAGGTTTTCCAGACTCTACCACGTGTGGAGTGATGCATCTGGGGCATCTGCATAACTGAGACTGGGGTCCCTGAGGACTCACTAAGCCACCTCCTGTATTGGGAAAAATGGCAGACAGGATACCTGAGATGGTGGAGAGCATCTTGGAGTCTGTGGGTCTGGTCCTAGCAGGCTTAGATGCACACATGCCCTCCCCTGCCTTTTTTAAATTTAAGTTTTAGGTAACATAATTAAACTTTAATTTTTTCCTTTTTCTTTTTTTTCCTTGTTTTGATAGCTAAAGTTTCACACAGAAGAAATCAAGTGTTGGACTTGTGAACTTAATATTATTGCAGGGTAGAAGTATACAGTTGCTGTTAGATGCTCATAATGTCTCCTATAGACTATGTATTTTCCTTTCCAATGACTTTAGTATCAAACTCTGCTTGTTCTTCGGCAAAGTGTGAATGTTGTCATAAGTCTGTTTCAGCAGATTCCGTGTGCTTATCTGGGCCTCAGTGGTCACTTCTTTAAGTATAAAAAGGAAACTTAGGGCTTTGTAATTTGGTGTTAGTTTCCCAAAATTTTTCATTTTGGCAGCTATTTAGAAGGTTGCTTTTTTATACACCTGGGCACTCCTTTGATATATAGAACATCTGCTTGTTCCATGTCTAGCCCTTTCTGATTGTGGACATACTTTTGAGTGTTTACAAGTAGATATTTGGTGATAACAGGCATCTTATGTTCTTTATGTCATCCTTCACTGTTTCCAAAGAATGTTCAGAGCCCTTTACAAAATGCAGAATGTTTTATGTATCAGGTGTTTCATCAGGACAATTCACTTGAAAGGAATTAAATAACAAAACATTTTCCATTGTTAATGGGATATATATAAATATGTACACTAAAGTATTTTTATTTCTTCAAAGAGTTACTAATCAAAGAGAAGACTGATTTTGTGGTAAATTTAAGCAGAGGTTTAATCCATTTTGGCCAAAGCAGTGAAATTAGAACAGAGAATCTTTCTAAGCTAATGATGAGATTTCTAATAGCTTTTATATCTTCTTCTTAGACGTTTCCTAAAACTCAAAGCAAGGATCATCCTATATCATTGTAATGTTTCATAGTGAACTTGGAATATTTAATAATTCTAAAATCAAAGCTTATTACTGTCACAATCATTTTAGGCCATTTATTCCATGTAACAAGGAATCTAACCTGTTTCACCATATTTGGTATGTGTTTTAAGTTTTACTTTATTTATTTTGAGATAAGGTCTCATGATGTAGCTCAGGCTAGCCTTCAATCTTGCTGTATAGCCCAGATTGGCCTTGAACTTGTGATTCTTCTGCCTTGGCCTCCCCAGTGTTTGGGATTATAGGCATGTGACACCAGGCTCAGCTACTTACTTAGTCCTTTCTATTGTGCTCCTCTCCCTTCCTTCTAGGGATAGAACCCAGAACGCTGTGTATCACTGAGCTACACACTCTAAGCAAGTTATACTTTCTACTGCTTTAGGGGTATTTTTGGCCTTTAGTACCTTGATTTGATGATAGCAGTTTCTCATTGTATGTACTTTGTGCTCGGCATTTTTGTAGGTTTGTGTTTTTTTTTTTCCCCCTAAGTTTTATTTCTTAGCTGAACAAATCACTTGTTGTTGTTTCCTTTTTTTTTTTTTTTTTTTGCTATTCCATTTGCACAGTGTAACTCCTAGAGATCAGCTTCTTTGTCCTGTGAGGCAGTGGAGGAAGCATGGAAGCCACTTGTGGAGCATTGCAGTGACAAGGGTATTTTTGCAGTTATATGGTTGCCAGTCTCAGAGATTCTAGGATAGTATTAAAGTTCAGCAGCTTGTAAATCCCATGACTTCCAGTCTCATGGGTCATTAGAGCCTCAGGCCTGTGCTGCAAATGACATTTGCTCAGTAATAAGGTGAAGGGTATTTTATAACTCTAATGGTACGTACAATTCTTTAACATGTATTGATTGCTAACAACTGCTGTCTTTCCCCCAGCCTGTCCCACCATCAGTTTTTGTGCATAACCACAATTTTGGACCTAGCCATTTATATTTATGCTTTTTTCATAAAGATTTTAGCTGGTTTGTGACTTGTTTGAAACAAGGAAACAAAGAGGAGACCTGAAATGGTCTTTCCCCTGTCAACCAGAAGCCTCCTGTGGTATCCAAATGGAGTAGTTACTTCAGTCTGTCTGTACTTATCTTTGAAAGTAGTTTCTGCTTGAGGAGTAGTCACTAGTAGCATAGCTTTGGGATAATTGCTTTTCCTTCTTCTCTCTGGATACATTTTTTTTTTTCCCCAGATACTTTCCTGCTCTTGTTGACTTTGTTTTTCCAGAAGATTCAGCCTGTGGTTAAAATGTTTTGGGGTTCCCACATGAACTTTCTGTGGGATTATCCAATTCTGGGGCACTTTGCCAGTTCAACAGTACTAAAGAGGCTAGAGGATCTTCTTGGTTAATAGAAAAGGACATTTTGGAATGAATTTCAAAGTTCAGAAACATCCAGACTTTCCTTCAGTATTTTTCCTGTTTGGGGGTAGTAGCAACTTTGCTTAGAGTAGGGGAGGGAGGGGCTAGTTGGGAGGGCTTGTGATTAAGGGGTTCAGAAACAGGGGATTTAAGTGTGTCTTTTGTGTTTGCAAGGCACTAACACCACTCCCGTCTGTATTTAAATGCTGTCCCCAGGTTACGACTATGGCTATGTCTGCGTGGAGTTTTCACTCTTGGAAGATGCCATCGGATGCATGGAGGCCAACCAGGTTGCTTTATACTTCGGTCAAATGATGCTGGAAGGATATATTTTTTTATATATGGGGAGGGAGGGGGTCAAATGATTTCACTTTCGAAAGGTACAAGCAATCTACCTTTGGAGCATACCACATTCCTACCAAAATGTGGTTGTGAGGAGAAACTTAAAAGACTAGAGAGGTTTCTTTAGAAGGGTTAATGGGCACAGAGTATATTTAAAAAAATAAGTTCCCAGTTGTAGTTGGATTAGTTTCAAAAGAATGTAGATGGAAAAATATGACTGAAATGGGCATCCTGATGTAAAAAGCCATCCTCGATTGTCTAGAACCCCAGTGATCTGCCTGGTATAGAAATTCTAGGTCAATGGTTGCACCCAGACCTTGGGTGAAAATTACTGATGGTGATTCTTGTGGCACTAAGGTCCTGCCTACATGTGTTACTTTTGAAAGAGGACCATCAGGGAGGAGAGGGGAGTAGCGTGTTCATGTCTGTCATTTTCATCATTGTTCTTTGCCAGTTGGAGTTGTGTTCCTGTCCCTGGTTGCATATAGTCAGAGTTGCTGAATCTGAATCTGTACTTACCTTAGGTTTGAACCATCTGGAGTTATTCAGCTTACCACATAGAATTATCATTTGTGTCTTTAACTGAACCCTGACCAGTAGTTGGGAGAAATTACTAGATAGATAGAATCCTTCTTGTCATGGTGTTTCCTTGGGAAAAGTAGTTTGCTTTGTGCTATCTTAGGTCCTCTATCTGTAAAGTGGGAAAAAGCAGCTTAGGGATATAATTTGATTTTTATGTACCCACTGCCTGTACTTACTAGTGTGAGTACAGTAAGCTCAGCATCTTAAAAGGAGGCTCTTCCAGAGAAGAGTAAGTATGAGATCTTTTCTGTAGTCTGATGGCCTTTCCTCAGCTTTGTTCCACTCAACATGGCTCATATACTTAATTGTTCCCTTCTTTGGTAGTGTTTTCCCCTTATGAGTATGGAGATGACATGATGTAAATGCTTTGAGGAAGCATTAATTAGAGGCGACTTTTTACCCTCCTGGAGGTACTAGGGTTTGAACTCAGGACTTTGTGCTTGTTAGGCATAGAGGAAACTTTTGATGTATCCTTACCTCTTGTTAGTAGTAGCACTCAGATCATCAAAGAATAACTGAATTAAATAACTGTTCAGTGTTAAATCAGATATTTAACAAATATTATGTATCAGAGATTATGCTACTACCAGTTTTAAAGAATGAAGGTTCCAGTGTATATGCTTATGATTGATTCTATTCTGACAGTGTCCAAATTTGAAAACACTAATTTAATTCATAAGCTATGTGTTCTTACCAGTCTAATACCATTACACTAAATTCTTTGAGCAGTAGAAATATGTGTGGGAGAATCCTGATAGGTGCCATCTCTTTTTTTTTAAATTCATTTATTCACATGTGCATACAATGTTTGGGTCATTTCTCCACCCTACTCCCTTCCCTCACCCATCTCTTTTGTATTATTTCCTCTATCATGTACTTCTCCTAAAGTAGCATTGCTTTTTATCAGTGATATTTGATCTTTGATCTTAAAAACATCAATATTGTCTCTTAATTGCTTCCTCTGTCCATTCCAACAAAAAATCCTGTCTGAAGTGTCCAGCACCCTAAAGAGTAGTATCAAATAGAACTAGGTTTTCAATTGGAGCTACATCTGGTAAAATGTTTGTTTATACCAATAGCATTGAGAGGAAATGGTTTATATACATCTCTCCCCACTCTTCTCAGCCATTTTGTGAATACTCTTAAGGGGTCCCAAATACCTGATTAATGCCCAGTGATTAGGACTCCAAAACAAAACAGGAACAAAGGCAGTATTCTTCTTGGTGTGAAATAAAGTGTTTTATTAGGTAGCAATTCTTATGCATAGGGTGCCATGTGGTGCTCTGGTTCAAGATTACAATTAAGAGATAGCCTCCTAGCCAGATACGATGGTGCTCTCCTTTAATCCCATCTTTCAGGAGGCTAAAGCAGGAGAATCTCAAGTATGAGACCAGGCTGTGTTATATAATGAAATCCTGCCTTAAAAAACTAAAAAAGATGTTGGGGCATAGCTTAACTGGTACAGCAGCTGCCTAGCAAGCATGAGGCTCTGAGTTCAAGCCCTCCCATCCCCTGCAAAAAAGGTCTCATAAAATATATAGAATGTGAGGGAAGAAATCTTGTCTCCTCAAAGTACATAAAGTGTTTATAGACGATGAAGTATGTCCTCCCATTCATCCAATTCTCCTTTTTTCCAAGTTTTACTTATAGACCATGTTGGTGCAAATTCTGAGTCATCAGAGATCTGTTGGGCACCTCTATGCAGGGCCTGAGTGTGTTTCTGTATGCTTCTGAGATTTCTGTGATATGATTTGAGTTGAGACTTTTATAACTCTTTGTTATCCTCTTGAGGATGTGAAATGTCTTTTATTTAACATTGATACTTAAAGGTCTAGGGATGGGCATAAAGGAGCTTTCTGCCAGCTTGCTTTGTTAAGTATGGTGGGTTATATGTGCATTAGTAAGGTTGCTCAGGATGATAACCAAGGCACCTTTACCTCCCTTCTCAGTGCCTGTGTGAAGATGTCAAACAGGAGGACTCTCTGCAGCAGTACTGAACATTGTGGTTGGGGGATTGAATAGGGGGTATTACAGTAGCTGTCTGTCTATCTGGGGAAATAATTTCCAGCAGTTATGAAGTTAGAAGTCTTTTAGCTTATGTTTTTGCCATCTCTGTCTAGGAGAAAGAAGCAGCCAGAATGAGAGTCAGAGCCTCTCATTCTGTCCCTACTAGGAAATATATTTCTAGCACTGTCATTTGTCCTTGTCTTTTTTTGTTGTCTCAGTCCATGTGGATTGAGAAGACTATCATGTCCTTTTGCAATGTGTGCCATTCCACTGGGATTTGGGGAGATAAGTAAGAAACATGTTAAGAGTATTGATTCCTTTCAGTGGTTGCCCTGAAACTGTTGGCATTTGGTCTGTAGGAATATAGCATTTTATTTTATCAAAAGTTTTGGTGTGATACTTGTTGCCTGTTCCCATTTGTCCAAATCCTCTCCCTGCCCCCCCCCACCCCACCGCTGCTTTTTTTTTCCTTCTTCTTCTTCTTCAGTAGTAGGGCTTGAACTTTTGAGATCAGGTCTCATGAACTATTTGCCTGGGCTGGCTTTGAACTGTGATCCTCCTGAACTCTGCCTCCAGAGTAGTTAGGATTACAAGCGTGAAGAATTCATTTCTCTGGAATTTTTACTCAACTTTCTGTGTGGTTGAATTAGCCTGACTTTCTGAGGTAGAAGGAAGAGGATGCTGTTACTTTCAAACATGAAAATCCTTTAGACACTGTCTTTTTCTGGTGTGGGAGAATGATGCCTGTGAAGTATTTTTTTCTTTTCTTTTGCAGTACTGGGGTTTGAACTCAGGGCCTCACACTTGATAAGCAGGTGCTGTACCACTTGAACCACTCCACTAGCCATTTTTTGATTAGGTATTTTCAAGATAGAGTCTTTTGAACTGTTTGCTCAGGCCAGCTTTGAACCACGATCCTCCTCATCTCTGCCTCCCTGAATAGCTAGGGTTTTAGGTGTGAGCCTACTGAAAGTTTCTGAAGTAGTAGTTTTTGTGTCAACAGAGTGAAGGGAGTTGATGTTATCAGAGATATGAGAATGATCAGGATGTTTGTGAAGGCACGTAAATGAAGCCAAATCTTTTTCTTTTCTTTTCTTTCTTTTTTTTTTTTTTTTTTTTTAGACAGGGTTTTGCTATATAACCCAGACTGGACTTAAATTCATTATGTAGCACAGGCTGGCCTTAAATTAAAAGATCTTCTGTGAGTGCTAGGATTATAGGTGTAAACCACCATGCCCAGCTGAAAGCCAATCTTAAGCGTGTCTATGATTAAAATTGGAAAAATGGGGGAAAAAAAACTTAAGTTCTTGGTGATGGGAAAACTGTTTGTGGGCTATGGTGAAACATTTCAGTGAAGATCCAAATTGCTGGAAACTTGCAGGAAATCAACGCGCGTCAACTCCCTGTATAGCTATCCTTATCTCAACTAGCAAAAATCCTCTTGGTCCTTCCTATTATTTTTTATACTCTCTCTTCAACAAAATTAGAGATAAGGGCAAAATACTTTCTGCCAGTATCGAGGGGGGTTGGGGGGGAGAGGGAGGGAATGGGAGAAGGGGGGAGAAATGACCCAAACATTGTATGCACATAGGAGTTAAAAAATAAAAAAATAAATAAAGTCTGCATATGAGGGAGAAAAAAAAAACAAAACAAATTGCTGGAAACTTATTCAAGTTAGTAATAATGACATAATGCTGTCTGAAACACTTTAGTACTTAAATTGTGTACATTCCAAGAAGTGAAAAAATGGCAACAATCTGTATAAATATCCAGAAGGTTGTGGTTTTACTGAAACAATTCTTACCTCAAAACTACTTTAATGAGGAAAATGTGGTGTCCTAACCAGAGCTCCCTTGTATAACGTGTGACTTGAGTCATGCCATTCTTCCTAGAAATACCAATTTCATTGCTTTCTTATTGCCCTCAGTAGTTATTGGTGGAAACATGGAAAAATGCAGTCTAACAGGAGCACAAACCAACGTCTTTAAAATTTCTTGTTCTCAGGAGAGTTGTGTTATTCAGGTGGCTTTTCTTTTTTTTTAATTAATTAGAGTCTCATTATGTTGTACAGGCTGACCTCAACTTCATGATTTTCCTGCCTCAGCCTCCTGAGGGCTGGGATTTAAAGACATCATGCCCAGCCTGCAAATTGGAGGTATTCAGGAGAATTAATAATAAGTTTAAGGATTGGTGATTTTTTTTGGCAGGGGAGTGGTCCTGGGGTTTGAACTCAGAGTCTCTAGCTTGCTAGGCAGGGGCTTTACCATTTGTGCTATGCCTCTAGCCCAAAGATTGTTAATTGATTATGGTCACTTATCCTGTTATGGTGGTTATTGATTCAATAATTAGGACTAGACTGGGCATAATGTAGTAGTTAACACATAGATTCTAGAAGTAGACTACTTGTGGTTGCATCTTAGTTCTGTTGCTTCCTACTGTGTCCTTACTTACTCTAGGTATTAAATGAGTTAGTGCATGTAAGGTGATTAGAACTGGGCCTGGCATGTAATGAATGTTGAGTGTATGCTTTTTGTTACCACAACAACTTCTCATCTGGAACAAAAAAGTTGTAAGGTACAGAAATTCCAGTCTTGGCTTCATGTAGTACGAGTATATAGGATTTGGTGGATTTGGTGGCAGTACCCAGGATTTTTTTTTTTTTTAATGGTAATGGGGTTTGAACTCAGTGTCTTACACTTGCTAAGCAGGTGCTCTACCACTCGAGCCACTCCACCAGCCCATATTTATTTTTCTTTTGTATCAAAATGCTTCTCATTTAGCCAGTTGTTGAAACTATTTTCACAGGACTGCTTCTAGGCCTCTCTAGAAGCTTCTAGTGTCTTAGCCTTTAAATTTTAAATTCTCTCAAGATTAAGAACAAGAGACAGACATGGAATATAGAGTATGGTTAACATGAAATATAGAGTATGGTTAGGCCATGTTAGAAGGCTTTAAAACCCTAAGCTCTGACAACTAGTCCTTGGCTTGGCCATACCTCAGGCTCTAATTATAAGAGGTACTTCTCTTAAATTGGAAAAATAAACATCATTTGGAAATTTTAAGGTGACCTTCCAATATGTCTCTTATGATAAGTTTGTAATTATTTCTGCCATACACAAATTAAGGCTCATTTTTGTGGAATGAGGTGATTTTGTTCTTAATTTGTTTGAAATTGAATATGTGCCTGTATATAGTAACATGTGCTTCAATGTTGTCACATCTGTTTGAGCTTGTATTTTTTTGCTAATATTTGACTGTTTATAAAAATGGGATTGTGTGGGCTGACTGAAGTGGTAGAGTGCCTGCTTAGCAAGCATGAAGCCTTGAGTTCAAACCTCATTACTACAAAAAAAAAAAAAAACAAAACAGAAAGAAAGAAAAAAGGATTGTGTGAGGTACTAATTTTGTGGCTTTTAGAGCTTGATTACAGATGGTAATTAAAAATATAAGCAGAATATATTTAATTTTAATTAGCTCAGGGGTTCCACAACAGGCTAGTTCAGTTTGTAGCCTTGATTATAACTTTAGCTTGTGGCCTTGTATAGGAGGTACTTTGGAGCCTTTAAGAGATGGGGGCTATAGGAGGTTCTTAAGTCACAGGGGGCCTTGGAGGGTAATGCTCATGAGACTCCCCAAGTTCTCTAGAGAAGGTTATTTATAAAAAGAGCAAGCCTGGCCCCACCCAGCTCTCTTTCTTTGTTTCCTGAGTCAAGATGTGGCCACTTGCTCCTACATACATTCCTACCATGATGTGATGCCACCCTCTGTCTTCAAGAGAAGTTGCACAAATGGGGCTGCCTAATCTTGAACTTTGAACTTCCAAAACTGAGCTAAATTTTGGTTATGGTAATGAAAAGCTGATGGTACCTAGAATACCTCTAGATGGTATACAGTTAGTAGCAAAGAAAGATTTAGAATTATGACTTTATTACTTCCTGCCTTTTTTGTAACTTTTGTGGTGCTGGAGATCAAACCCAGGACCTTGCACATGCTACACAAGTGTTCTACCACTGAGCTACCTTTCCAGCCCTTGTTTTTTTTTTTTTTTAAGAAGGGGTGCAAATGTCACTTACTTGGTCCATAAGTATAGTATATTTGTCATTTGAGTTTTACAAAACATCAACTATAAATAACCTAAAACTATAACAATAACACAAAAATTGACTTTTGGGGCACTGCTGGCTCATGCCTGTAATCTTAGTTACTCAAGAGGCAAAGCTCAGGAGGATTGCTGTTTGAAGCTAGCCTGGGCAAATAGTTGGCAAGATCCTATCTCAAAAATACCCAATGTAAAACATGGCTGGCGGAGTGGCTCAAGGTGTAGGTGTGTGTGTGTATGTGTGTCTGTCTGTCTGTCTGTCTGTCTTCTTACACAGACACACCAGAACTGAGTTTGAGTAAACTAACATTGTTTTACATAATATATATAGTGCCAGATAACATTTAAACCCAAATTTCAATGCATAGCACTTGATACTTCTTTGAATCTGTTTCAGTTACAAGTAGAAAAAATGGTTCAAACACTTCAAGCAAAAATAAACTGCCCTTGGTTTTTTGAGACAGGATCTTTCTGTGTAGAGCAGACTGAACTCAAACTCAAGATCCTCCTGTCTCTGCCTTCCGAGTGTGAGTTAGAGGGGCATACTACCACACCCAGCTTTTTGTAACTTTTGAATTTCAGTTTTCTCACCTATAAAATGAGGTGTAATCATAGCACCCACTGTAAAGACTTTTTGTTTGTGTGTGGTATTTGGATTTGAACTCAGGGCTTATACCTTGTGCCACTCCACCAGCCCTTTTTTGTGGTGGGCTTTTTAGAGATAGGGTCTCATGAACTGTTTGCCCAGGTTGCTTCAAACAGTGATCCTCCTGATCTCTGCCTCCTGAGTAGCTAGGATTACAGGCATGAGCCACCAGCACCTGGTACCACTATAGGTAATTTTTGAAGTTAGAATATATTATGTATGTAAAGTATATGGCATAGTAGCGGTCATGTGTTAAAGTGATTTGTACTAGAGGGTGATTATTTGATGCTGAACTCTGTACCAATTCCTCTTTTTCCTTGGCTTCTTATCAGCCTCTTGGGATTCATAGATAGTTGAAAAGTGGCGCTATTGCTTTGGGAGCTGAATCTTTGACAGCCAATCTGCACAATACTTTTGCTTAGGGCCTGTCCCATAAAATTGAGATATCTGGACTAAAAATGAGACAGTGAGTACTATGCTAACCCTCTTGCAGTAGAGAGCTTTATTGTTTTTGAAGCTAATGGAGATATTTCTTCCATCACAAAATTTTCATAGGTTGTATGAGGCTAGGCACCTTTCAATGTATTGAATTCAGAGGTTACAACATATCTTTTTATCTCATGTTCCACAGGGCCAACTGTTCAGACGTTGTCAGTCATTCTTTTTTTTTTTTTCTTTTATTATTC